GGTTTTTATAAAAAATGCAAATTTAATTAGTTTTTCAAAGAAAACTGAATGGTAAAATGAAAAAAAAATGATAAATTTTTATAAACCATTAATATATAACAAAATTACTTGTTAAATAGTTTTTGTCTTTGAATTAATTTATTTTTGGAAATAATTATATTTTTTGATTGTATATTTATAATAAAAATATACTTCGTTATATAGTTTCGATAATGAATAAAAAATGCTGCGGACACGAAAATAATAGAAAAGACACCATATACACAGGAGGACGTCCTTTATAGCGGGAGGACGTCCCTAAACCACAAAGGACGTCTTTCGGCCTATATTCCCGTCCTTCGTCCCCATGTCCGTCCTTTCTCTTAATAAACAAATAAATTGTGAAAAAATGAAAATAAAATATAAAATTTTATTACAAAAACGTAAAAAATGGCAAAATAAAAATAATGGTAAAATGCAATAACATTTTTTAAAACAAATAAATATGTTTTTATTCATAAAACAATAAAAACAATTGGTTCTGAGTTGAAAATGAAATACAAATTGCAAAAGATACATGAACACATCAGTGATAATTAAAAAAACACACAAAATATATGTACACACAATAGTCTTTATAAAAAATATAAACTTTTCAAAAAAACCAATTATATTCACTGTGTATTTTCAGATAGTTCGATGTAGCAAAATTTTTGACAATTTTTTTCTGTCTTTATTATATTTTTATCATCTCTTGGTATTTACTATATTATGACTAATCTCTTGCAGAGTTTTTATCAAAAGAATTAAAAACGTACAACCAATCATAAAAACAGTTTTTAGTGTCAAATATTATATTAATATAAGAACAATTTCACTCCATGACATATAATCCACATATTTTTTATATTGTTGTCTGACTACTTGTCAAATATTTGGAATGTTTAACCAATTGTTTGTTAATGACTTTTGACAATTTGATGTATACAATTACTTATTTTAATAATCTATTGAAAAGAGTGTTTAAAATGAATAAGGTAAACCATAACTATATTTTTAATTTTTCAAATAACAAAAAAACAAACTTATTTGTCTATCGATGCTATTTTATTGATTTATTCGGTGTATATTTTTAATTATTGTTATGTTTTACATTATGAGTAATTTAGCTTTTTTATTGTCAATTTAGAGGTAAAATTTATTATTATTATTCTTTATATTTGGGTTGCTGAATAATCAATGCATAATGAATTCGTTTTATAGTTATGATATTTTACAACTATTTCAATTCATCATTTTCACTATGACACAGAAGCATGTTACTCAATGTTAATAATTACCTCTATTAAGAATTCGTCATTCAGTGAACATAATTAAGTATGTTTTTTTTTCTTATTATGATTATTATTATTTATTTGTTTTGTCAAACAAAAAATATTAATTATCACATTGGTTGTGTGTGCTTTTATCATCATTTTTAGATTTTATGAATACTTTTCACAGAGTTGGCAGAAAATAGTCTGTCTAGATAAGATTAACTATATTTTATTATAAACAACCATTTTTATTAGTTATTGTTTGTATTATTATTAAAATTTATATAACTTTCGAGCATAACACAAATTCAATTTAGATATTAAAACTCCTTTTTTGGAATTAAATCTTGAAATCGAACATAGTAAAACTATAAGTTACTACTATAATAAATCTTAGTTGAATTTACATATTGACACTTTCACATAGAGATTGATTCAATTCATGGCTGAATTGAATGAGTGACGTTTTTAAACATTCGCTGTGTTTTGTGGGTTTCTTTAATATATTTATCAATCCAAATTTGTTGTTATAAATTATTTGTTTCGAAATGCTACATTTAAGTTATTTATTGTTGAATTGTGTTGTATTTATTAGATGATAAATTAAATGATTAATTTGATAATTTTCAATTTTGTTTTTATTTATACTTACTAAATCATCATTTTCAATTTTAAAAACAAACATCAAGTGGTCGCAATTGACTGTTTATGGGGTAACACAACTGCAACAACAAAACCGTGTTATGTATCCGAAACGTCAATTTCATTAACGTGAATATAAAAAAATCAACCATTGTTTGGTTTTACAAATATTTTTAATTATTTTTTGTTGTTTCTAATTAATGTTTTTACCCCTTCCAATACCATAAATATGATTGTTATAACACGCATACAAATGAATATAAACTTGAATCTGTAAACTAAAAGTTATTCTAAATATAACATTATTTAGTTTTTAATATTTTAGTTTTCAGTTCTGGTTTGATGTAACATTTATAATATATAAAAAATTTGTACGTTTTATTTTTTGTATATTATATAAATTAAAAGTCTAACACAGTTGTGTCATACAAATCAGTTATAACATTTATTTTATTATAATGTAAAGTAATTTATATAAAAATATTTTCTTTAAAAACATGAAAAAGGTCGCGATGTTGTTTAAATACATTTGATTTATTTTGTGTAATGAAAAAGAATTTTTTAAAACGATAGTTAAGAAGAAAAAATTTAGTAAATATATCTCATATACATATGATTCTCAACAAAAGGTTATAAAGTGAGAACGCTATTAATCAGTGTGGTTGCACAACTAATATCATAATATTTGATTGTTTGTTATAAATATTATAATTCAATAAAATGTCAACTTTTTTACACCTTAGTTACAAAACATCAAAACATTTACAATGTAAACTAAATTAAAATAAATACTTTTGGATTTTCAAAGTATGACGTATCCCTTGTTTTTCAATAAAAGAATTTTTATCAGAATTTTATTTGATACGTTTCTTATTTTGAAACCCCGTTTTTAGAAAGACTTATTGTGTATAGTTTATTATACTATACACATTTTTTATATAAAAAGAAAAAAACCTGATAATAATAACATGAAAAGTCGTCAAGTTTTCCTCACAGAAAAAGTGAACCTTTTTTAAACAAAAATACGATTTTAGGTTAAAATTTACTATTAATTTGTAGTAAATTAAATTATTTTTTCTATTAATTTTGTTTCCTGGTATTTCCCATGGTTATTAAAAGTTTAAAGCGTTTTTTGCATTATTTCTTTCTAATATACACTCAAAATAAATAAGATATAAATAAGTTTACATTTTTTGGAAATTTTTGGTACTGGAAGGGTTAAATTATTAATTAAATTTTTTAATTATATTATTATTATAGTTGTATGAAAATTCATTGTAATTGTCAAGTTGTTGGTTTGTATTTTTGATGTTTGCTGTTTAATATATACTGCTTGATTAAATAAAAAACATAAATTGTTGCCACAAAAGATAATCAACAATTCAACACATAATAGCAATTCCGTGATATTTTCAATAAAATATGTTTCATCGTTGTATATTTTCATTTTAATTAATAAATATCTTAAAGTATTTTAATTATTAAGAAGTTTAAAACGACATTTATTTAATTTATAAAAACAATATAATTAATCAAAAAAGAAAAAAACA